TGTGGTTTTAATAATACATGTACATGTACCGCGGGGGTATTTGTATTCATGGACGATGAGACGTGTAATCCATTGCAAGAAGACAAACTGTGATGTGAGCACACATGTCTGTAGTATCCTGCATGTATATTTATCACAGTCTCAGCATTGTCACCCCAGGGTAATGTCATGGGATTGTGCATACAAATACATGTAGATGAAGTAGTGTTTATTTTTGCGTCAGGGAAAATTGGGAAATCACTACATGCATACATTTTCTCACAGTATTAATGGTAAAATTGATCACCACACCAGGAAAAAGAAATAGTCAATTAGAATTTCAGAATTTTTTTAATCTATGTTGCATCACTAGAAGTTGTCACTAATTATTGCATTATGAGGAAGGTTTTTCAACCACTTATTTCTCAGCATGCTTAAGCGGAATTCAATCTTAGGTGAACTACGGTTTTAAATTCACTAGTTTACAATACATTGTGACATTTTTACTTTGATTCATTGTACCATATTTGCTATATTAGTAGCGTCATGCACTTACGTAAATAACAATGTATGTGGAAGTACGATTTTTGGTTTGTATATATATAAATACAATGTATACTCTTTTACTATGAGCAATATGAGCTATAGTAAAATTCAATAAATAATTACAGTCTTCCTTTCACATAAAGTATCTGTTCTGCGGGTAGACTTAATTGTATATTTTGTTCGTTTTTTTGTTGTTGCAGAAAACCTCGTGATGGGGGATGAACAGCAAGTGGTAGCCAAGTGGGATTACAAAGCAATCCAGGCAGAAGAGTTGGGCATCAAGAAAAATGAAAAACTGACTCTGATAGATGATAGTAAATCGTGGTGGAAGGTGAAAAATGTTGATGGGAGGGAAGGTTTCGTGCCTTCAAATTACGTGGACAAAGTGAAAAAACCCAAGGGAATCTTTGAACGATTTATATCCAAGAAACAAGTCAGCAAGCATGAGAAGAAGAGCAGTGACCAAAAAGTAGAACTTGAGTCGCATTCTCATCCTAGCTCGGACGGTGATGCCAATGGTGGCGCCACAGACCAAATTGTGTGTATGGCTGTTGTAAAATTTCAATATGAGGCACGGCGTCCTGATGAGTTGTCTCTTGGTAAAGGTGAACAGGTTGCCGTTATGGAGAGGTCGAGTGACGGGTGGTGGCGTGGTGAATGCGGTGGCCATGTTGGATGGTTCCCTTCAAACTATGTGAATGAGACGAGCGATGCACCCAGCAATTTAAAACCAAGCCAAGATGTTAACCGGCCACCTGCTTTAGGGAGAGGCCCAGTTGAACAGAATGTTGCATACCCTCGCGACTTTGTCCAAGCGGTTGAGGCTTTGTATACTTTTCAGGCTAGGAATGATGAAGAACTGCGTTTTGAAGCAGGAGAGCATCTGGACATTATAGGAATGCCTGATAATGACCCAGAGTGGTGGCAAGCGAGAAACGCCAAGGGGGAAGATGGACTTATACCGAAAAACTATGTGCAAGTAATTCCTGGTGGTGAACCAGTCTATGTGGGACCCACCAGCACTGTACAGCAGAACTCGTTTAGTATAGCTGCAGAGCTTGATATTGTGAAGACTGGGCCATACGCTGACAAGGATTGGTTTGCTGGTAAAATTACCAGAGATATGGCGGAAAATATTCTAAATGAGCATACGGTGGATGGTGATTTTCTGATACGAGAGAGTGAAACAAACGTAAGTTGGTTACATTTATGGTCAAAAAAATTAGCAAAATGCTGCAGTTTGTGGAAAATTGAATGTTGTCATTGTTGGATTTGAGTAATGCAACTGTATGCAATGCGCATATTTTTA